TAGTTTGAATCTCTTATCCTTAATTATTTTTAAAAAAAAATGAAAAATAATTCAGAAAAATGAGCTTTTTGTGATAGGGATTCCTTACCCCAGATAGCTCTTTTTTAGAAATTATTATTTTACCCTATCTTTTCTTATTTTGTCTTCCTAAAATTTTTTATTTTTAAACTTTATCCTGAATGTTTTTTTAAAAATTTTCATTTATACCTAGTTTGATCTAAAATCTATTACTTTATTCTTCTAAAATTTTCTGATTCTAACTTTTATGTAGATTTAGAAATTTTTGTTGAATATAATTTTGACTTCTAATTATATTTTGTTAAACAATTAATTTAGTTTAAAGTTTTAGTTTTACTCAAGCTTCTTTTGAAAATATTTTTTGGCCTCGTCCCCCTCATAGTGCATGTTTCTAAATACTATATACCATCAAAATTACATTAATATGGAAACTAACGTAAAATAGATAGAATTTATTACGAACTTGATAGTTTAAAATAGATCCTACATATTAATAAATAATTGTTAGGATATGAAGAATTCTCATGAAGGAAATATTCTTATGTGGTATGGAAAAAAAAAAAAAAAAAAAAAAAAAAAAAAAAAAAAAAAAGAAAAACAAAGAAAATGCTTTAGACAAACTTATCTTTTATTTTCCATTGTCCTTGCGTCTTCTTTATTTATTTCTATAATAAAGAAGGCATTGAAACTTGAAAAGTATATCAGTATGTTCGATGTTCAATATTCTGTACACATGACACATATTCAAATTCGAAGGACGTATTCAAAATCATAATATCAAATCAACGATCCAATTGGATGAATGCTTTTCCATTGAATAATGCACGAGTAATCAAAGCACCAAAAGGAACTATAGCTTAGTTTTATTATCAAAACTATAGCCCACTTTAAAGCTACTAATACTTTTTTCTTTTTTTAATCCAAATGCCAAACCGTGGCATTAAAATTGAACAGATGGGAAATTCCAATAATGTTGTTTAGTGAAAGGGAATCAATAAATCAATCTTTCTTTAGCACCAGTCAGACTAATTGATGCCCACATTGAAGTTGATACTTATGGCAGGATCCCAACAACGGAATTTAAATAAATAAATAAATAAATAAACAGTGAAAATGAGAGGTGAATCCAATTCTCATTTAAATAAACTGAGAGCCATTAGTGCTGTTAAAA